GGTCACTTGAGTTATCATTTATGACTGGAAACATTCTTCCCTTATCACCTAAGTTGTCATTTATTCCAAAAATATCTTCTTCTATAATCTGAATTATTATTTATGACAGAAAGCCTTTTTAAAAATCATCTGAGTTATCATTTATGACAGCAAACATTTTGTTCTCTATCATCTTAAATAGCATTTATAACTAGAAATGTTTATCACCTGAGTTATCATTTGTTATTAACAACATTATGTTTTCTTTCTCCAGAGTTATCATTTATGACTGGAAATCTCACCGTATAACCTGAGTTGGCATTTATGTCCTCTATCATCTGATACAATTTATACCTGGAAATGTGTCACTATCACCTGTGTTATTATTTGTGACTATAAATATAGAATATTTCTCCCTCTATAAATGGAGTTACCATTTATGACTGAAAACCTTCTGCTATAACCTGTGTTATCACTTATGACTGGAAACATTTTGTCCTCTATCATCTGAATTATAATCTATGACTAGAAATGTTGTTTCTCTATTACCTGTGTGATCATTTATGACTGAAAACATTTTGTGCTCCCTCACCTCAATCATCACTTATTACTGTATATGTTTCTCTGTCAACTGAGTTATAAATGTGACAGGAAACATTCTTCCTCTATAACCTGAGTTATCAATTATGACAAAACATTTTTCTTCTATAACCTGCCTCATTATTTATGACTGAAAACCTTCTTCCACTATTACCTGAGTTATTTATGACTGAAAACATTTTGTTCTTTACCACCTCAGTTATTATTTATGGCTAGAAATGTTTCTCTATCACATCTATAATAATAAAAGTGAAATATGCTAATTAGACCGCACAGCCGAATGACCTTCCGGACAAAGCCCGGGCTGTGAGGGCCGAGCCCCTTGCATGGATTTCTTGCATTGGGGCTCTAGTGAATTATAATTTATGACAGGAAACATTCTCCCACTATCACCTGATTTATCGTTATGACTCAAAACCTTCTTTCATTTTAAGCTGAGGAATTATTCTTTATAACTGAAAACATTTTGTCCTTCCTCATCTGAATGATAACTTATTATTGGGTATGTTGTTCCCAACTTGTGTTATTTATGAATGGAATCATTCTTTTCATATAACCTGAGATCATTTATGACTGAAGCAATTATGGTCTCTGTCATTTGTGTTATCATTTATGACTAGAAACCTTCTTCCTCTATAACCTGAATAACAACTTATGACTGAAAATCTTTTTTCTCTATAACCTTAGTTATCAGTTATGACTGAAAACCTTCACCTGTAATAACCTGAATCATCATTTATGTCTAAAAATATTTTGTTTTCTATCCCTTAAATGATCATTTGTGACTATAAATATCCTTTATCACCTGAGTCATCACTTATGATTGAACACCTTCTTCATCTATAGCCTGAGTTACCATTTATGACTGAAAACATTTTTATATTGACCGAGTTATCATTTATGATGGAACCTCATGGTTCCCTTTATGACTAGAAAGTTTTTTCATGTTGGTTATCTTTTATGACTAGAAAATTTTTCTCTATCATCTTATTTATCACTTATGACTTAAAATTTTTCTTTCTATATCTCTTGATTTATCATTATGACTGAAAAATCTTCTTTCTCTATAATAGGGGTGGGGGACGTCCGGCCCATGGGCTATATAAGGCCTGAAAAATCATTTGGTCTGGCCCTGCCAAGGCAGTAGGGGCGAGTTAATTAAATGTTTGACTAAATATAGCAGGCTAATGTTTCAGTTGATAGTTTTGTATGGCCCGTGAATGATGTTATAAATACCCAAATGGCCCTTGGCAGAAAAGAGGTTCCCACCCCTGCTCTATAACCTGAGTTATCATTGATGACTGGCTTCCTTTTTTCTTCATCCTTTGACTTATCACTTATGCTTGGATACCTTTATTTTTATTGCCTGTTATTTTTTTGAATCCTCGCACAACCACATCAGAATTACAACTAAACTATAGAACAGCCACCTTTCAGAACTACCTGGAATCTAGCTGAATGGAAGTCCTGCAACCGCGGATATAAAGAGGAACCACATCAAGACTGGTAGGAGGGGTGGAGACAAGGAATGGGCTGGCCCCACCCCCATGTGTGTTGGATAAAAATAGGGAGGGATATCTTGGATGCAGATACCCGCCCCCCCTCCCAGGAGTAAGGGGTCCCAGCTCCATAGCAGGAACCCCAGCCCAGGTTTCCTGTGCCAGGAAGAGAACTTCCCATAACTTCTGGATTTATAAACAAAGTTGGGTTGTAGCTGAGTGAGACAAAGGGCTGCAGGAGTCCCAGACAGTTCCTCTTAAAGGGCCCATGTGTGGACTTACTCAGACTCACTGGCTCTGAGCTCCAGTGCTGGGGCACCAGGGACATATGGGGAGGAACCAAGTAGTCTGGCATGGGAGGAGGAGAGAGCTGGAGGGACAGCTTTCTCCCAGACAGAAGTGCTGTCAGAGGCCATTTGTCCTCTTCTGGGCCCTCTCCCACAGAGCCAGCAGAAGGGCACCATATCTGAGTCTCCATAACCTGGCTAACACTGTTCCCCCTGCCCTGGTGATTCCCTGAGACCCCACCTCACCCAACTTGGAGCCTCACCCAGGCTGCTTCCAGTGTCTTTTCCATACAAATGGCCTGTCTTGGTTTATGCTTAGAACTTCCCTGAAAGCGTGCTGCATACTTCCTACTAAGTGGCCCCAGACCCAGCTCTAGAGGCAGCTGGCCTTAGTTTGCAGCTTGACCGCTCCTGGGCACCTCCAAGCCCAGCACAGTAGTAGCTCTCTGCAGATTGCTTTGTAGCTCATGCTGAGTGGCTCCTGGCAGGGCATCGTTGGTGGCTCACCTTGGCCTGTACCTCTTGAGATGCCCCAGAGCCCACACATCCTGTGGACAACTCCAGTCCACATCAAAACACCACCCAACCTCCTCCACAAGGGACACACTCAAGGGGTGGACTCAGTAGGCACCAGGGCCCTGTTGAATAGATTCTGCTCCATGGTGTCAGCCCCTGCACAGCTGGTCCTCCACAGTGGTTGCAGCTGGTCCTCACGCCAATCAGCCTGGGGGTAAACCCCTCCCATTGAGATGCCAACAGCAATCAAGGTTCGACTGCAACAGGAGGTGTCCACAGCCCACACAGAGGGTGCACTTGGAGTGCCCAGCTCCGGTGATCAGGGGGGCTCTGCCACAGAACCCTACAGGACACCTCCTACAAGAGGCCACTTGACCAAGCCTGGGAGACATAGCAGCTCTACCTAATATGTAGAAACAACACAGGGAGGCAGCCAACACACGGAGACAAAGAAACGTGTCCCAAATAACTTCACTTACCTTTTATGACTTCAAACCTGGCTCTCCGTCCCTTGAGTTACTATTTATAACTTGAAACATTTTTTTCTCTATCGCCTTAGTTATAATTTATAACTGGAAGCACTCTTTTTCTACCATCTTATTTATCTTTTATGACTGAATCTTTCTCTGTCAACTGAGTAATTATTTATAAATGGAAAACTTTTTTCTGCATCACCCTATCATTTATGACTGGAAATCTTCTTCCTCTATTAACTGAATTATGTATATCAGAAACTTTTTCTCTCTCTCTCACACCCTATTTATCATTTATGACTAGAAATCTTTCTTTTCTAGCATCTGATTTATTCTTTATGACTAAGAACGCTCTTTGTATATTGCCTGAGTTTTCTATCATGTGAATTATCATTCATGTCTAGAATCCTTCCTTCGCTATTTCTTCAGTTATTGTTTATGACACAAAACCTGCTTCTCTGTCTCATTTATGACTGGAAACCTTTATTCTGTATCATCTGACTTAATTTATTGATGGAAACCTTCTTTATCACCTGAGTTATCATCTATGACTAGAAACCTTTTTCTATCACTCATGTTATCATTTATTACTAGAAACTGTCTTTCTCTATCACCCACGTTATCATTAATACTGGATACATACTCTCTGTATCTGATAAGTATCATCAGTGACTGGAAATCTTTCTTTCCCTCTCACCTAAGTTATTATTTGTACTAGAAAACTTTAAAAAAATAAACCTATGTAGTTTTATTAAGACAAACACTGACAGTGTGGTGTGAAGTTCATATTTAAACAAAGCTTTCACAGGAACCTAGCACATGCCTAAAGAGATTCCACAGTGAGGTTCTGGATGCAGGTCTAGGTGATGTCAAGTCTGATGGATCTTGCATGATTCAAGACAGCATTTGGGGTATTAAATAATTCTTAGGATTAAAAAAGAATTCTTTTGTGTTTTAAAGTGAACTACTACCCAAGTAGGAAACTTTAATCTTCCTTTTGAGACCAGGGCTTCTGAAATATTTCAACTCTTTTTTTTTTAAGGGTTTTTATTTTATTTTTTAATATATTTTTTATTGATTTCTAAGAGGCAGGGAGTGGGAGAGAGAGAGAGAAACATCAATGTTGAGAAAGAATCATTGATCTGCCGCCTCCTGCAGGCTCTCCCACCAGGGAGCAAGCCTGCAACCCAGGCATAAGACCTGACCGGGAATCAAACCGGTGACCTCCTGGTTCCTGGGTCGATGCTCAACCACTGAGCCACATCCAGTCGGGCTATTTCAACTCTTGAAGTGATTTAATGAACTTGCTGTTACCAATAGTTGCAGAGTTCAAAGTTCAAAACAGAAAGACTCTGAGAGTTTTCTACCCTAAGAGCATGGGACTTTCTCTTTACTCTCACACCTCCTAGTCCACCCTCTCCCCTCCCCAGATACCTCAGCCAGTGGCTTGGATGGGCAAGCTAATATTTATAACTTCACAACTATTGCTTCAAAAGTGTTTGGAAGGAACAGACCCAGGAACGCCCCTTTCAGCCTCCGGCCAATTTCCAGCATCTTATCCAGTCACCATCTTCAGAACCACCTCTAAGACCAGCCAACACACTATTGTTGTTTTTACTGCCTTAACTCCTTCCTGCCGAACAATCATGAGCTCCCAAATTCAACAGAATTATTCCACCGTGGTGGAGGCTGTGGTCAACAGCCTGGCCGACCTGCATCTGCCAGCTGCCCACACCTACCTCTCTCTGGGCTTCTATTTCAATCTCCACGATGAGGATGTGGCATTCCAGGGCGTGGGTCACTTCTTCTGTGATTTGGGGGAGAAGAAGCGCGAGGGTGCTGAGCATCTCTTACAGGTGCAAAGCCAGCGCGGTGGCTGCATTCTCTTCCAGGACGTGCTAAAGCCGTCCCAAGGTGGGCAAAACTCAGGACGCCATGGCAGCCGCCCTGGCCTTGGAGAGGAACCTGAACCAGGCGCTTTTGGAGCTGTAGGCCCTGGGTTCTACCCACACAGACCCTCAGCTTTTCTCTCTGTCTTTCCCTCTCTCTTCCACTCTCTCTAAAAGATCAATGGAAAAATATCCTCAGTTGAGGATTAACAAAGAAAGAAAGAAAGGCTCACCTTCAAGCATGACTAGGAGCCTTTGGAGCCCAGGGGCCTGCATCCCCTGGTGTCTGGCTTTTCCCTGAGCCTCTCCCCGAAACTACTAGTCGTTCTTTTAACCACCCTGGAGCCCTCTCCCATGCATCAGACCAAATGGAAACAATAAAGCTTTGTGCAGAAAAAAGAAAAGAAAAGAAAGAAAGAAAGAACAGCATTAAACTCAGACAGGGAACACCTAGGCTTATAAGTTTCAGGCATTCACAGCTTTTAAACAGTTTCTCATAGTCCTCATGTATTTATCTTTTTGAAAAGATAAAATATTCTGGACACAGAATCGCATCATCTTAGATCGCCTTTGACTGACACACCCATCCCACATGCCCACATAGGCTGCCACCCTCCAGCCAGCGCCCTTCCCCGACCCCAGACTCTGTGACCCCGGGTGGCTCCATGGAAAGTTTCAGTGGAGGGAGCATTTGCTCTGACTTCATACACGTGTTCAGAACCACACAGCTGCGTGCCTGGCTTAGAGGTGCTGGGGCCTCCCTGCCTGACCAGGCAATGAGCTGGCTGAGCCCAGAGCACATTTTCAGACTTAGCAGAAAATACAAGCATGATTCTCTCTGGCCCTGTGACCCAAGCTGAGCCTGCAGCTGTCCCGGGAGCGGGTGAGGACTCTTCTTCCCTCATTTACCGTACGGACTGGTGTCACCTTCCCCTTCGGGTGGTGGGTGCATCTGTGTGAGAAGCTCCAGCCTGCGGGATTGGGGCCCTGCTCACAGGGGGCGGGTATGTGGGTGATGTGGCTGGTGGCACTCTGCATTTCACCGTCCTTGTATCAGTCAAGAGAATCTAAGTCCAAATTACCCAATGCTTAGGAAACTGTGTACCCACGCCCTGTGTGTTTAGTTCAGCTTTCCTCCTGAAGACAGGAGGGACTGTGCCAGAAAGACTCCAACAGGATGGACAGATGGCAGGACTTGGCTTCCACTGAGCAGGCCTGGGACACACAGACAACCACACACAATTGTATGCACACAACCACATGCACACAATCAAATGCATGTGATTGCACACTCACGATCTCACACATTCACATGTGTAATCTGCTGTGAGCTTCAGAGTCTGCCCAGGTGTGTTGGCCCATGGCCACCATGCTCTCTCTGGTTTCGCTTGGACACACAGTAATGAGATGGCCACTCCCCATCAGTCCTGTGCACAGCTGTGGGCAGGTGGAAAGGGCTCAGAAACTGCCGACCTGCCTTGCAAGGTAGCTGTGGGCTTGCGGGTGTCGACAACCCAGCGTGCAGCGGCTTCTCCCTCTTGCAGAGCAGGGGCCACTGCCTTGCTTCTGTTGCCGGGGTCTATGTTTTCCCTACCGGTCAGCTCCCCAGGCAGAGTCTCCATGTCCCTCCTGCCCCCAGCCGTCAGCTCTGTCCTCCATGGGCTCAGGCCTGGTCACTGCTGACTCCACCGCACACAGCCTGTCACCCCGTCTCTCCTGCCCACACTTGAAGTCTCAGGCAGCTCTGCCACAGTTCCCCACTTGAGGAAAAAGGGCCGATGTCTGAGTGGCCTTGACATCCTAAACCCAACTAAGCAGGGACGGCCCCAAACCCAGCTAAGAGGCTAGATCTAACTGTTGGCTGTTGCTTTAAAACAACACACACACAAAACATTTCCTTTTAGTCATTTCAGAAAGAGTTCTTTTCTCTGCCTCCAGGCACACGGGAGGCCCCGAATTTAGCAATTGCGCCATCAGCGATGCTGACAGCAGGAGCCTTCGGGGATGGGGAGCACCCCTTCAATAACTCAGTGAGGACAGCAAACTGGGGCCTCCCGATCCGAGGGAGGGGCTTAGACATCCAGGAACATGAAGGAGCCATTTTCCAAGAAAAGCAAGACCAGGCTGAAACTTTCCGCTTCGCAGGCCCAGTCTCTGCTGGGGCCTGGCCCACCCTGCTGGGCCCTCCTTTCCGAGATGGACTGGCCGGGGTTCTCACCTCAGGGGAAGACAGGTAGCACTCGGCGAGGACGCCACAGTTCTGCCAGAATCGGCTGTTTCGGGCTCAATTTTCTACCCTTTGCATAAACTCGGCCAAACCAGCTCAGCCTTCCTCAAGTCGCACCTCTGTACTCGGGCCTCCGCACCCACTCAGCGGCGTGTCTGTGTTCTGCACCAGTGCTCGGAGGGGGGGCGTGGCCTCCCTGTGCCCACCGTTCAGTCCCACACTGCTTCCTTCTCAAGGGAACCGAGTGGCCTGCTCAGAGGACACGGTGGCCACGTGGCAGAGGCCCTCATCCCTACATCCAGGCCTCCCCCTGCCCATTACACCAGCTGCTCTAGACTGGGTCTGGGGGGTGAACTGCAGGCTTGCTGTCCACTTCATGGAGTAAATCAGAGAACTGATGGTGATAATAAGACCGTGCAACATCATCAGCTAGTAGCCCGCTCCTGGGTAAAAACTTCTGTGTCAGGACGGCCGGAGCCACGCAGGCCCAGCAGGGAAAGCCAACTCCTGGCCCACCAGCCAGCCACAGGCTTGTCATGTTTTCTACTGAGACGCGCGGCTTCTTTCATCTGCCTTTGAAGAACAATTGGCAAATGTTCCAGCTAGCTTTCCTTCAGCTTCACGTTGGGAATGGAAGGGAAGTAAGGCATTTCTCGGGCTGGACGGACAGATGGAGAAACCGTGTTCGCCCGCGTCCCGACTGTGTACTTTCCCGTTCTCCCTGCTCAGTGTTTACTTAGCACAAGAAGCGAGTATAATTACTGGGGACTAAATGTCCAGCCAGTGAACGAGGAGCTGTCAGGTTACAGTGATCAAAGGCTTTGATCTTAAATTGTGTGTATCTACCAAGCAGACCCTTCATCTCATTTTTGTAAGAAATTGGAGTTGACGCCTTGTTTGCACAGCATAAACCCTTCGGTCATGAAGACCCTTAGGAAGTGGGGTGCTCCCGGGCACCAAGGCTGAGCCCTCAGTGACAGACCAGGGTCCCGGGGAGCTGCTCACACCTGACGGCCCCCGCACTCTGAGCTGGCCTGGCCTCAGCTGACCTGCAATGGCTGGGGGAGTCCATCCTGTGCTCAGTCCAGGCACCTCATCCAAACGATGCCATAACGGCCTCACAGGTTACCGGGGGGTATTTCAAGCCAGGAGTACATTTTTGGTGTTTTTTTTATTTGTTTGTTTGTTTTTAATGTTTTTAAATTTATTTAGAGAGAGAGGGATGGAAACATTGATGAGAGAGAAACATTGATCAGCTGCCTCCTGCATATCCCCTACTGGGGATCGAGCCTACAACCTGGGCATGTGCCCTGACGGGGAATCGAACTAGTGACCTTTTGGTTCATGGGTCGATGCTCAACCAACTGAGCACACCGGCCAGGCACTGGCAGGCATTTCAGAAAGTGCTTCTTGAAGTGCTCGCTCCAAGGATGAGCACGCCTGCCTCGTGCATCATGTTATTCTTACATGAGCCCCGTTTGTCCCCCACATAAACCCTACTTGAGGTTTCCCTGTTATACTGGTGAGTGACTTGCCAGGGCCACGTGACTAGCAGCAGTGGCTCTGGGGCCACAATAAGCAGCACACAGAAGGCCAGGTCTGAGGCCAATGCCACACGCTGTCCTTTAGGAGGCCGCAGGCTTTATACACAAAGCAGCACTAAGAAGCTCAACCCTGAGAAAGCGGTTCTCAGCCAGCCTTGCTCTGTTCTTGTCTTGAGTTGACGGGGAGTTCTGAGCGGGGTGGGAGGGTGGGAGGGTGGGCACCGCTTTTTGTCTCCCCTTAAAGCGGAGGTGTCTGAGACCTGGGGGCTCGTCATCTGTTCCCTCAAATTACAGATTCCCATCTGTGGCACTGCCCACACTTTGCCTCTGTGGCTTTCTTTTCCTTCCCCCGTTGAGAGCAGGTTTTCTTGGGCTGGCTGGAAGGTTATGCGTCATCTTTATTCTTCCTTGGCTCTGGACTTGTCGTGGTTGCAGTTGGGCTGTTTCCCATCGACAACCTGAGCTGGTCATCATCAACGCCCCTCTCCTGTGTCCCCTCAGGTCACCTAACGCTCTCAGCAGGGTCTGTGGGTCCTGAGCTCCCCAAGCCCTTTCACCCTTGTGTCCTCCTTGCACTGTGGCTCCTGTAAAATCCAGGCCCCATGGGACTTGGCGCCTGGCTCCACTGTTCGGGGCTGAGAGGCACAGCTGATGACAGTCCTGCTCTCTGCAGGGTCCTTTCCCTTGAGCATCTGGACTTTTCTCCTTGGTTTTATGCTCTTAGTTGTTAGGATAGTGGTTACAGGAGCAGTGTTTTCCTCCCCGTGCCCTCTGGCATGCAGCGGACGCTGTCGGTCACAGTCTGGTTTCTCTTGTCATAAATCTTTTTATGTGTTTCCATGTTCACCACTATGTTTCTCTCCCCTGGGGCCCCTCGGATGCGGTGCCCCTCTGTCCTCAGTGCCTTCTTTCTTCTCGCTTCTCTCTCGTGTGCCTGCACCTGGCTGGGCTCACCCAGCAGCTGGGGCCTGGGAAGCCTTTACCCCTCTGAGTTCTGTATTTCAGCTACTGTGCCTCTCATTCCTGATGTTTCTGACTCATTCTCTTCATAACTGCTCCTTCCATGCTACACACCCCTTCCTCGTCTCCAGAGTGATCTGACGTTTCCTTGTTATTCTGTTAACGTGGAAGTGACACTCTGCTGTTGCCATGGTTGCTGTGGGATGTGACGTGCCCCCTGGAGTCTGAACACCTGGGCCTCCGTACAGAGCACCTGGGAAGCTGCGCACCTGTCGGTCCTCCCGACGCCAGTGC